CTAAATTAGTTAGCTTCCTAGTTAAAGAAAATTTCAAAGTTTTGTTACTTACTCGTTATACTCGTTCAATATTTTTTTGACATTAAAAATAAAAACTTATATTAATATTATCTATTTTTTTTATAGTTCTGGATAAAGTGTAGTATTCTATTCGCATATAATGGATGTTGTTCACATGGACGATTTATGATACTCGCCTGCGGCTCGTGTCATGAACTTCATCCGCGTGAATAACAGCCACCATTATATGTTCGTTGAATAATATCTGTGAATAATATACTAATTTAATTGCAGTGTTAGAACCTTTGACTATACAGGGTGAGTCTTAAATAAGTGCAAATATTTTCAGGGCTGGTAGATCTCGATAAAAGAAACATATTTTCTCTTTACTATTTTCAGATAAGTCCAAAATAACCGAGTTTTTGAAAAAAATTGAACAACCACCGCATTTTTTCTGTATTTGCAACCCTTTTAGTGCTGTAACCATGGAGTAAAGCCGTAACTATGGTAACATCGCAGATTAAGAAATTACTAGCTTTATCCCGCGACTACGTTCGCGTTACACGTCGAATCGTTCATGCATTGATTTAAATGATTGTTTGCTTCTTTATAGATAGAGCTAGCACAAGCGTTACAAATGCAATATTTAAACTATGTTTTTAAGAATTTTAGAGCTACTCGTATTTCATATGAAAGTTAGCAATTGTCGATTTTCTGGGCATTATACAGGGCGAGTCTTGAATAAGTGTAAATATTTTCAGGGCTGGTAGATCTCGATAAAACAAACATATTTTCTCTTTACCGTTTTTCAAATAACTCCAAAATAACCGAGTTATTTTATTTTAAAAATTTCCAAAAAAAATATTTTTTGCTTAAATTTTGAGAACTACTGGAGCCTTTCGGATTTTTCTGTATGGTAAATTTAATCTACTACCTATGTTGCTATATTTTTAACTAAATTTTAACTAAAAACTAAAACAAAAATCTAAAAAGTTAAATAATCTTAATATTTCTAGAAGTTATCGAAATCAAAGTATTTCAAAGAGGTTCAGTTTTGGCCCCAAAATGATTTTGAAATCTTGCTTTTTAACACTTTTTTTTCAAATTTTTCTAACTACCTACTTTCATTGACTGACACTAATTATGTATGGTTGGATAGAGGGTGGATGTGGTTTCTTATTTTTTCATTACGTATAGGGTATTTTAGAAATCAATATTTAATATATATAATTTATTTCACAAAAATAATAAATAGTGAAATGACAATTTACCCTCTATAGATAGAACCCTACCTATGGTCCCATATAAACTGTATTACTAAAATAAATATCCTTGACGTATAAAGTTTTCAATTGAATATTTGAAGTTGCCAATTGAGGGGGTGGGTGCAATAACTAAGCCGCTCCATTTTCTTACGAAAATGATATCTTAATTTAGTTACCCTCTAAAAATAGACCGATCGTACTCTGCAGTTATCAGGCCACGCTGTGGAACAGTATCTATATGGCAACGTCACTGGAGCTACCTTGCTTTCGGTTTGTAACAAAAACCGGACAGCTATTAGAACTGTTTGGTTTGATTATCAAAATTTCTTAAAATGGAGCTGCCTGGTTATTGCAGCTACCCCTTCAATTCTTGCTTTTCTTGATATACGTTATTTTTTATTCCTAGAAGGATGGTTTGAAGAAGAACTATTTCGTTCATATTATTGATGTCACTAATTAAACCCTTGTATACAATTTTATACGTCTAGATGTTATAGGAATGCATTTTCGTACAGCAAACTTTCATTCCCTATTCTACTCCCTAAGGGTTTGAATTTCATAAATTCGCTATGTCCAAATAATTAACTCATGTCTTTTTAATGATCCTTTGTGCAAATATTTATGTGTATAATCCAGGTCACGAAGGTTTATTTAACTTTTACTAACTTTACCCATTTGGTTGATTTCAATAATCTCTTCTAATTCCTTCTGTAGAATTTCATTCTTCTAGACCAGATAGTAAATTTTCATACAACAAATTGTTCATAATTTTACACTCTAAGAGGATGAATTGCCTAAAATCGCTTTTCGTAGCTAATTCACTAATCACCAATGTCATTTAAACGAACATTTGTGTTAATATTTATGTATCTAAAGCTGGCGGTGATAGCTTATTATGAAAATATCTAAAAACTTGATATATAATCTGACACACTACTGACAATGACAAATAATTTATTTCTGGAATGTTGTTAGGTGTTTTTCTCAGGTATGTTTGTTAGTATTTAGTCGTTTACACAAAGAAATAGCCATTAAACAATATATAAAATACTTCATAACAAATCTAGACATGTATATCTTTCATTTAAAAAGAATAATCAATATAAAAATAAAAAAAAAAAAAAAAAATATATTAAAAAAAACCTTTGAGCTTTATATATGTATGGATGGATACCGTGTGAAAATTTGCAGTGAACAGGCAGTTCTAAAATTTTCAAGAAAATATACAGGGAAATTTAAAATAAAATGCACGATTTTCAACATTTTTTTTTGCGAAAAAACTACTCATAGACATGTTCCTGGGGTCGAAATATACCACTAGAAATTGTTTTAAGACTCACCCTGTATAACCCCTAGGTTAGAACTCATAATAATTTTTTTAATGCAGTTAGTCCAATTATAAACTCAAGTGTATTTTTTGTAATTCTCGTTGCTGAAGCATACCTTTTTCAAGTGAACTTGTATGCACTAATTACATGCAACGCAAAATTATGCTTTAATAAAGTTGTTGGATTCCAGCTACATATACTGTCGTGACAAGTATGGTAAAATTATGCTTTCAGTCGGGAAAGGGCCATTAAAAGTTTATGGCGCAATATTACTATATTTCAATTCGGGAACTTAGGCACTTTCGTCATCTTTTTCGCCGCCATATTGGTTTTCACGTATTTCCTGAGTTGATCCATAGATGTAAACATTTAAGGTGCTATCGCTATTAGTAGGGAGCTATTGTATTCATGTTAGCGTTACACCGTTAACGTTAAATTTGGCTTTTGCACTATATCTACAATGTAAGCTGTAAATATTTATTTTAGTTTATAAATAAAAAAATATTATTAATTTTATGAAAGAACTACAAATTTATTCTGAAAAAGTTTTCTAGAACCACAAGAAAAGTATTAATAAGTTAATGGTTAATAATAATAGAAATGATTAAAATCATGTTCATCATTATTCTTCTTAATCATTCTACTAAAATTTATTCTATGTCTAAAAATTAGATTCTACTAAATTTGAAACACACATATTAAAATTATGTTTACTGTATTTAGATAAAGTGTAGTGAAGATAAAAGCTAAGATCAAAAAATAGATGTGTTGGCAATATAACATAACGTAAGCCAGATATTCGGGATGTGCAAAAAAACTCTTGGAAATGAGAAAATAGAATATGGAATTATATATTTCACCAGAAAAAAACTCCCAAATGTACAATAAGAGCCTACAGTAAATTACAAAAAAATGCAACAGACAATACAAGAGAATATGACTCCATAATACATAACATAATATATACGTACAAAAATATACTAGACATTATAGTAATGTATATTATATTAATATATAAATCTTAAGATGGGGTGGGTCAATAGAGTAAGTCCATTATCTTATTTGTTTCGAGACTAACAAAAAAAATTAGAATTGAATAATTTTAGAGAATGATCATAGTCTAAGATTGGCTGCAGGATTATTACGTTCATCATGTAGATAATCCAAATCCTAATTTTAAATATATTTATGAATAGGTGAATACACTTTTAACAGAGTGCCAATGAAAAAGTGGCCGCAACTTAGGAATGTTATATGAGTGCAAACTGAAAGTATATATTAGGATGTATTTGTCGAAAATAGTTTAACTTCTACGGGGGCTCCAAAAATTGAGTGAATTGGGATTATTTTTATTACATTTTTTGGCTTCCTTTCACAGTCACTTTACATAATCCTAAGATATTATTAAATATGTTTTGTTAGTTTCCGGAACAATTACTGATAAATAAAAAAAAATATTTCGAACCCTTTCTTTTTTTTTAAATACAAGAAATGTCACCAAATCAAAACTATATTAGGTGTTTACTATATTTATTCTTTACTTAATTTTGCTATAAATATCGTAATCTTAAATCATACAGGGTGTTAAAATTCTATGCCAAACAAAATAAAACAGTTTTTCTTTGCTTTATTCGTGGCCAATATATGTGGTGTTCCATTTTAAAAAATCATTCCGATCTACTCACACTTTTTTGATCCACCCTGTAGAAGTTAAAATATTTTCATGAAATACTTCCCTAATACATACTTTCAGTTTGCATTCATACAATTTTTTTTTTTATTATAGGAGCAACAGATGCCTGACTCACTGTTGCCGGACCCGGATAAAGTAGTAGGAACGACTTCGAACTGTGGCAACCCCTATTTGTGGCCACATTTTGATTGGCATCCCGTTAAAAGTGTATTACCCTATTCACAAATATATATAAAAATTATATTTTAATTATATTATATTAATAATCCTGCAAATCCCTGGGATCCTGTGTTATCAGGTACACAATTTAAAAATTAATTTTAAATAAGAGGGAACTCCAAAAAGTGTGGCAGATATAATATCTTTTAATGTAACACCCAATACAATAATTTTTATTTTATATTTAGATTCTGCCCAAAATTCTATAACCTTTGTATATAAAGATTGATTGTTGATTTATTATATACTGTAGCTATCGCCAATTTAACTGGTATGCCAGCACTGGCATGGTAGTGGCAATATGTAAATACTTTCATACCAGTGATTAGCATAGAAAAGATTTTACACAATGCCACTACCATGTCGGTGCTGGCATAACACATTTTAAATAAATATTAAGAAAACTATTACTTCTAGGTATATGAACATTATTTATAATATATATCTGCCTCGCTTTTTGGAGTCCCCTATTTAAAATTAATTTACTAATTAAATTTACTCTATACTCTGTCACTGACTCACACTGTACAACATAAAACAATATGTATGAAAAATAATACTAGACACTAAACACTACACACTTTCTTCTCCCTCAGTTAAATAATTGTCCTCATCTGAATCGGAATCATTCGTGTCGATAATTACAGGTAGAATATCGGAGGCATCAATCAGTTGTTCTTGGGCCCAGGCTTTATCGATTATGCTATTGGTATGTCTGATATAATTCTTCCATTTCTCTGGTGTAACCTAAAATAAAACTTTAATATAAAAATACTCAAACCACATGTAATCTACCTTCTCAAGTGCTTCTTTCCAAAGACCTAATACTGCATCACTTGTAACAGGATGAATGGCACTAATCTTGGCATCATAGTAGCGCTTGCATTCTGACCATACCATTTCGCTGGGATTGTACTGACAATGATATGGAGGAAGTCTCAACACACGATGTCCTTTCTCATTGGCTAATTCGTCCAGTCTGCCAAATAAATGCAATGGAATAAAGTTATAATGTTAAATCAACATATCGCATATACAATTGCATTCATGTCAAAGTAATAAGACTGTTTGTTGACTTACTTGTATTTCTTAGGTGCAACATTCTGCTTGACTATATTCCAAACCTGATCTTTCATTGCCAGAGGTGGTGATTGAATTCCCTTTCCTTGCAAGAAATTAATCAGGGATTCCTTACTCCAACTCTGATTTGGAGTTCTCTCGAAAAGGGTACTGTGGTATGGAGCATTATCCATTATAATCAGAGATGGTTCATCTAAATTTTAGATTAGACAATATTAGATTTTCCCATTAAACATAATATAATTTTAAAAAAAATCATAATATAATTCCTAAGAGCTTATTGTGAATTATCACCTAAATTTGGAATTAATTGTTCTTCACACCACTTTCAAAATTTGCCGAGTTCATTGAATCATGGTAGTCACCCGATTTAGTGCCTGATTTGAAAACTAAGCTAGCATTCTCCACAAATCCATCTTCTGACCCAGCATGCAATACAATATACCTTAAAAAATCACTATCATACATACCCAAAAATGAAGTACAAGGTACATTTCTTTACAGTTAAACTACAATGTAATCGATATAATCCCATGCATTTATTGGTGCACACTTGTTGCTATGCAGATGTAATCGTTTTTATGTTTTTCTTTTTGCATTCACTTTTAGGTTAGAAACATTATCGTTATATCAGCTGTTTACTGCTCATGCACCTTAGACAAGCAAAGAGAGGGGACGCGTAATCGACATCTACGGCCAATATCAAATTTTGTGATTGGCTCAAAATTGTGTGTTTTTTTGTATTTTGTGCTGTAAAAAGCTTTTTAAAGACTTGAAATAATTATTATTTAAGTAGTGGTGTTTTGTTGTGCTTACAATTCTAAGATCTGTAATGAGAGGAAGAACTAGGAATCACTTTTCACAAACGGCCTTGGCATGGAGCCTAGCGATTTTCCATCACAAAATTTCTACTGGTAATGCCCGTCCCCCCTTTCCTTGTCTAAGTGATGAACAATACATTTTGAAAATTTTAAATTCTAAGTGTAACCAGTTGGTATATTAATAACTTAACATTTTCCAAACATCAGAGGTTATTATTTGTCTATTTGTCTATTTTTTTGGAAAACTGCTTGAATATTACAATTGGTTTTACACTTAAATTTAAAAATTTTTAAAAGTGGAGTTAACTGAGTTGTGCAGTGCTTGGCTCATATGTTACTTACTAGAAACAACTTAACAGTTATCATATATTATTGTGTGTATCTCTATTTGTTCCCTTCTAACTGACCTATAAGTGAACCAATGAATATGTAAAAAACATGTACCTTACTCCTTCTCCAGATGTTTTACGAACTGTTTGCAGACTGCCATCTTGCCAGCTCTTTCTAAATCCACCCTTACTGTAAATCCAGGTTTCATCAAGAAATACTGGTCTGAAAGAACAATCAGAGATTTGATTTTCTTTATATTGTCGTAAAAATTGCAGTCTCTTCTGTGCAATATATGGCTGCTCCATTAAATACTTCCTGTTAGAATGCTTGCAACTTTGCCATATAAACTGCAAATATTTAAGTCGTTTCCCCAACATAGTCAGAGACAACTGAACATCATCAATGTTTTGAAGGTTTGCTTGCAAAGTTTGTAATGTAATATGTTCCCCTATATAATCCCATACAGTGAAAAATTAGATACATATAATATTAAACAATAATAAATTTATTGTAGCCTACCTGCAGCATACATTGAATAAATACGTGGGTACCAATACGTGTTCTAATTGTATGTTCATGTATCTTATAAGCAGGAATTCCACGGGACAAAGCAATTCTGTGACTTGTTGCTGCTTTTTGTTCTTCATCTTTCACGATTCCTCTAGAACTGATTCTTTGCACAGTCGTGCGTGAAATTCCTAAAGCCTCCGATGCTCTCTATAAAACACGTGAATATTTTCGATTTAGTTAAAAATATTAACTTGATAGTTGTCCAATTACATCGTAAACAGCCGACACAGGCAAAAGGGGTTTTCCAGCATTTTTTCGAGTTTGAAATACTGGATAACTTTTAATATGAGCCGTTGTTCGTTTTCACTAAAACGGGACGGCATTTTAAACACAAATTAAATCACAAATAACTCAGGAAACACAGAAAATCTCCCACAAAATATCAAAAGTGATAAAAATCCTCTTTGAAAATTTACGGGAAACTATCGGAACCGTTAAAATTTAACGACAACTTTGACAGTCGGAGATCCGTATTGTTCGATTTCGGCGGGTAATACAAACACGATGTTTGTCCTTTTCTATTCGTGCTTATCGGACAAGGACGTAAATATTTTATCCGTAATAATAGTGATCAGCATGTGATCAGTATATAAAAAGAATAAAATAATCGTACGATGTAATCAATATAATGGACTTACGTTTTTGACACAAAATTTCCATTTCATGTGATAAACATGGATAAGAGAGAGAATGACAATCTGTGACGAAAGTGCCAAACCTCACGAATTGAACAGTACAGAGATCTAACTCTGCTAATAATTAATTAACCGACTTTCCAGTTTGTTTTATTGCGGTCCAATATTGAGCCAGTGAAGTATTGCACATGTTTATAAGGCTTGTTTGAGGAGAGCGAAGTAAAAAAAATATGTTTTTTTTTCAAACGTCATAAAAGTATATTCTCTAAACCCAAACTATTTCCAAAATTAAAAATGCATCAATAAAATAAAAAAACTAAAATATTACTATAAATAAAAAAAGTTATAACAAGTGTCTGCAAGACCACCTTTTTGTGCTAGACAGAAACCTAGGCGGTCGTAAATCCCCGTCTGACATTAGCTAACATATTAGGGCTAATAGTTTGGAAAGCCTCCCGTATTTTTACTTGAAGCTCATCCAGATTATTAGCCCCATTATGACCATACACTTGGATTTTACATAACCCCACAAAAATAAATCATTGGGAGAAAGATCTGGTGATCTAGCGGGCCACAAAATAGTTCTATATCCACTAATTAAACGGCTGGGAAAAGTATTGTTCACATATTCTTGAACAATACGCGCATTGTGGGCAGGGCAACCATCTTGTTGAAACCAGACATTGTGGAATCTTTCTCCCAATAACTCACAAATTCTAGGGACAATCTGCTTCTGTAACAAGTTCAAATACTTTGCAAGATAAACTATCCTCTATGTGGCCAGGACCAATCATATGGTCCCCTACAAAACCACCCCAAACATTTAGCTTTTGAGGATATTGCGTGCGTACCTCAAAATATCTGTGCAAATTTTCCCGAGACCAATATCGTATTTGTGTAGGGTTATGACGACTAAATAAAGGAAAACTTGATACGTCGGTGAAAACTATACGCCGAATAAAGCTTTCATCTAAATTGGCCTTTTCCATTACAGATTCACAAAACGCCATACGCCGAAATTGGCCTCATGGAAAATATCTTGAGTTTTGCGCGCTTTATACGATCGGTATCCATTCTTTTTAAGTACTCTTTTAACCATGCTAGGTGAAGAATCTGTTACCTCAGCAATTTGATTACTGAAAACGTGGAAGACTGGAAAACGTGGGAGAACAAAGTCTCATTAAGGATGTGATTATTTTTACAACTTTTATCTGAAAACTTTTGTCTAAAATTGATTATAATGGAACTAGAGACAATTTATAAAATACGAAATTTGTTTTTCTTTCGAAATATCTAGTAACCCATGAACTTTTTTCAAAATCTTAAAAGGCAAAATTATTTGCACTTATTTAAGACTCACCCTGTATAGGGGAGCAAATATAACTGGTGGAAAAACAAAAGCGAGCCTTCCCATTACAATAACCTAATGTTGTTTTTTGTTTGTTGCAGTGGTGGCGTGTATGTGGGGGTGAGTGCGGGCGTGATGGGGCGGGGGCAGAGCTCGCCCATGGAGCTCGGCTAGAGTGGCGCGCCCCTGCCCGGCCGCCCGGCCGCCCCTCCGCCCTCGGCCCGCCGCCGCCCGCGCCGGCTCACACATGGAGCCGGACCATCGGGACCACCGATGCCACAGGCCAAAAGCCTTTGACAAAGTAAGTAGTGCATTACCATTCTAATTTCGTATTATTAAAGGCGCGTTTATACGAGTCAAGAATTGACTTGATCAGTGGCGTAACTATCGATGTGCCGTGTGTGCGAAGCACACGGGCCCTCGGAGGGCCCGGACCGCATTTCCATATCTATCACATGCTATCGCGAATCAAGCAGAATCGGGCGACCCCTAACTAAGTTCTTATCTATCACATGTCGTACTTAACTAGCACACGCTATCGCGAAAAAATGGGTATATTACTTTTACAACTAAGTCGTTTACACTTGTTTAACGTTTACACTTGTAAACGTCCGCCTCACAATGTAGCCACAGTATAGCATTTACGCATACACAAAGTAAGGGATACGCAGTGTGCCGTAGGATACACAGCGCTTGTGTATTACCTTTAAACTATGTTTACACATTGCAGTTGTAACTACCGCGTGTATACGTATGTATTTTGTTTCGTATTGTTGCGGACCGGTGTGGGCTCGACTCTTAACCTAACTATATGGCCCGCCTCGGATGACCTTAACATCGAATTAAAGAATAGACACCGTAATGATTCATCGAAGATTCGAGTATCGAGTTCTACTGGAATGGAGTAGTACATACGAGAACAATCGAAACCTTCTCTATGCACCTAACGATCTATGGACTATTCTAGAGACCTTTAGCTGTAGGTATAAAAGCCGGCGACTGTGACCTAAAGAGGGCAGTTATAAATAGACGAGTGCAGTTGACGCGCTAAAATTCAAAATAAATTTTAGTTATAAATCGTTTGTAAATAGTTCTATAAGTCAGTATATACATCTTGTGCTAGATAAAACTACTTCTTATGAACGAATTTAGAAAATAATACAAGTTTTGATGCCTAAATTTTCGTTCTTTTTAAGAAATATTTATTCAATGATACCAATCATATCTTTTTAGAACAAAAATTAGGAAGGCAAAACTCTGTATTTTCCAAAAGTATCTCGATCGTAAGTTCAAGAGAAAATTAAAATTAAAAAAAAAATGTTCTAAAATTTGTTCCATTTTTGTTTTGTATTAAATGTACCATTTTTCTTCCATAAAATGGGTTAAATGGCTAAAAAAAATTCTTTTATTTCTTTATATCATGGAACGCAATAGCGCAAATAACACAATAATAATAATTATTGACACTGCAGAAACCAGAAGTAAGAAAACACTGTAAAAGAATAGAATTTGTATCAAAATGTATTAAAAATATAAGTACCTAGTATAACAACATACTAAAATGGTAAACACTGGTATATCGCCACGATTTGGTGGACCTCGTTTAGTCATTTTTTTCTCCTCTTTTCCCTCCAAGCAGTTGGTTTATTAGCATATTCTTTCATCGACCACTCTGTTGGACTTTGTTGTATTTTGTATTTTATTTCCAGATTAACAATCTCACCCTTAAATTTTATATGAAACTGATTATTGAATATTAAACATATCTGTGTATATTGATCCATCAATAACTTACCGAATATCAGTGTAAGAAGTTCTTTGAAGTGTTTAAATCTTTCTTTCTCTGGTCCATTTAGATTTTTATTATTTCCAAATTAAAAAAATTATATTGCAGAGCTAACTCAGCTATCTTCTTTATCATTATACGACAATATTTGGAGTTTTCATTCATTTGAGTCAAAATTTGGTAAAAAAACCAAATAAAAAAAAAAAAAAAAACAATAATATTAATAATACTCTTATGAAGGTGTAACAAGGTAATTGAAACTTGTACTTACCTTTACAATCTCTTTTAAAACTACACACAAACAGAACATTTATATAGAGCTTCCGAATGATAAAACAATAATGGCTGCTAACACATACCACTCCTAGAAAGGAGAAAGGAGAGAGGACACATAAGATACACTTGGTCGGTGTATCTACGCTGAGGCTATCCGCGCATGCGCACACCTTCATTTCATGCTAGAATGTAGACACAACAGAGACAACTATACACAATAGACACAACTATTACAAAGTGTCTATATAGATATTTATATTATGTGTATACGTCACATTTTTACAAGGTGTGTACTATAGGCACAACTATGATACGAAGTATCACACATACATATGACTTATACATTGTATGTCTCATATACCGACGTCAGATTTCATCATTTTAATAATTATTTGTTACGTCAAAAAACTCTTTAGAATCTTGAATGCATACGGTATACAACTAGTAAACACTGTATCACACAATTCTATCAATATAAACCTGCGTGTATCTCATATGTATATGTTAGAACTAGATGAACACTTAGGTTCACTTTAACATATGTTGTTTCTCATGTGTCTCCCTTGTAGAAACGTAATTTTATTTGGACGTGCTATATGGGGACCGTCTAAACTCGACAAATCCTGTAAATTGATCAAGTGAGTTGATTCAAGTCTCAGTTGACTATTGTTTAACTTTTGACGTTGGAAAGTAGTGGGCCAGAAGAAAATTCTGAAAAGTCTGATATACAGGGTTGTCCGGATAATGTATGGTAGGTACCGCAAAAAGTTAAATATAAAAAGCTATAGGGTTTTTAAATATCTTTTAGCGGGAAACAAATTTGAGTATACAGGGATCGGTCATAGAGTCGTGGCACATCAAAGTGTCATTTTTAAATGGAACCCCTGTATATTATTGCATATTTCGGTTCTTCCTTGAATTCTAAACAAAAATCGAGATACATACAATGTACCTCAAACCAACCTGTTTCCAAGTGATTGGCTTCTGAAAATATTACTTAAACAATTTGATTTAATTAATTTCGATGTGTTCGGTTTCAGTTAACGATGCCATTCTGTGGAACCTGTGATACTTAATAATATTTAACATTAGTTTTCAAGTTATGCACCTAAATAAAAAAGTTTGTCAACACCGTGTACATTCCTTTTCAGAAATAATTCTTGTGCCGACTTTTAAGCCAGAGAAATAAATTTTATTAAAAAATTTGATTGTTTCCTTAAATGTATACAGGGGTATCAAAACTGTTGGTCTATTTTAAATATTTATTTTACACAACAATTTCGTTATTTCAAATGCAACACTAAGTATTTTTTTAAATAAGTGGAAAAAATTATTTTAAATTTTAATTTAAATGCTCTTTCAAACTATATTAGAGTTTTATATACCTATTTGGCTCAGATTTTGAATAAAAATCGATTTTTCATTAAAATGATAATCAAGATGGCTGGCGTCGCCATAACAATTTTCTAGTGACATTTAGTAGCTATTTTCAAAATCGAACCGATATTAGTTTATGGACTTTATTTAAATTTATAACAGAGTTTACTTTTATTTAATTTACCTACAATAGTTTAATAAGTAAGTATTTCTTATTTTACCCAGAAAAATGAAGCAGTATCTACATCTACTGACGGAAGAAATTGATATGTTACTAGTGATGTTTTGTGAGGACAATTGCTTGTTAGCCTGAAGGGTTTATGCTCAAAGGTATCCAAATAGGAATGACAAGCGTTCCCTTAAAAAAACACTTTTCTTATTTCGCAAAGCTGCTAGTGTGGTATAGATAGTGTAGTATATGAATAAAAACCTTCACCCAAATCAAAACCTCTTAGGCAGAAACCTGTCGTTGCAAGTGAAGAAAATTAATTTGCCTTAATTGGTTCTTTTAGAAAAAATCCAATATATCTACAAGTCACCGTAATAGAAATCAAAGAACTACTTCTTCATTTTTTTCGATAAAATAATAAACACTTACTTATTAAACGCAGGTGCATTAAATAAAAGTAAACTGTGATAAATTTTAAATAAAGGTCATAAACTAATGTCGGTCACTAGAAAAATACCATGGCGACACCAGCCATCTTGATTGCCATTTTATTGAAAAATCTTTTTTTGTTCAAAATCTGAGTTAGATAGTTATAGGAAAACCTAATATAGTTTGAAAGAGCATTTAAATAAAAATTTAAAATAATTTTTTCGACTTGGTTTAAAAAATACATATAGTCGGGCAGCAGAACCCGGATTTTTCCCTGAAGTGCCAATTGTGGGATTAAGTTTTTTTATGACGGATTATTATATATCTATATGTCTATTTTCCATATCCGGCTGATGACAAGCTGTCGCCCTTGGGGAAATCCAGATATACAGGGTGTCTCAAAATATAAGACATAAAAATGTATTCGATAGGTTTTTAAGCTTTAGGCCTTAATTTTTATGTGGGTTGGTCAATTTATTGTATTTTTATACTAAATATTGGCTTACCTTTATAGCATAAAAATAATAATCATTATTATTTGCAATATACAGGGTGATTTAAAAACTTTAATAAAACAGACATAAACAATTAGTTATTGTTCACTTCGAAGTTGATGTTTCAATAGCGTGTTGGCATAGTGGTTTCAGTCTATGGTTCCCACCCAGGAGCGCGGGGTTCGGGATTTGAACCCCGCGCTCCTGGGTGGGAACGAGGTTGGTTTTAGATTTTTGTGTTTTGATTTTTATTTTATTTTATATTTTTTGTTCATGTCTCTTTTATTGACCAATATTTGCCTTATCTTTTCAACCTCATCGCAGTGTTGTTTTAATATAAGAGATGTAAACGTGTGTGGTGTGACCTTTTCTGTAAATTTGTAAGTTACGACGATATTTTTATGATTAAATATTTACTTAGGTTCTTTCCTGTTACGTCTGATGATGCTCGTGTGAGCGAAACACGTGTAACAATTTAATTTTTATCATATTAAATGTTGAGACCGAGACTTAGAGTCTTATTGCTTTGGCTTTTGTATTTCAAATCAGGTCTATTTGGGTTCAACGAACGCCTTTTTTAAATGAAATAGTTAGCCTTAATATAGTTATAATTTCCTTCAGAAATATAAAAAAATTGTAATGTTTATTGGCGATGGCGGGTTCATTATGGAAAACTACACCGAGCTGGCGAGAATCGTTCTTTGGTCGATATACAGGGCGATCCTTAATTACATGCTAATATTTAAGAAGGTGATTCTTGGACCTATTCT